ATTAGACAGCAATTGTCATTTACTACATTCTTGATCCATTTCATGTAACGTTGGATAAAAACAAATCTAATTTCCTTTGAAAAACAGGAGTTTTTGTCACTGTAGGTTTTGAGCAATTGTTTGGATCTTATTCATCCATAGCTTAGTGTTTGTTTAAAGCCTGGCATTTAATCATTCAGTGCAATGCTTTAGTAGAGAAAGCATTTGTGTACGTTATAGCTCATTAAAATAGTAGAAAAACTGTGGAACTGCCTGCATGTTGTATAACACAGTTGCAAAAGTGAAGCGATGAAGGGAAAGGTTTTTTTACAATCAGTTTTACAGATGCCCTGAGTGAGTCAGTGTTGCAGATAACAAACACTCCCAAGTTTCCAGCCTTTTCTCTCTGGATTCCTCTAAATTCTACAGAGTTTATTCAAAGGGCCAAACCACAGGTTTGTCATGAGGGGACTAACCTCAGTGTAGCTCTTTCCAACCTAAACTGGGAACATGATCTCTGACCTGCTCACCACCCTGTTGAGATCAACACCCTGGACAGCTAAGCCATGGCTCAGTGGTTCTGGCCACACTGCATCTAAACATAGGCGACAGAGTCACATTTTTCTTCATACTCCTTTGTAGTTTTAGTGCCTTTTGAAAAGACCATCCAGTGAACAGGGAGATGTTTAGCTGGATTCGAATGTATTTGCATCTCAGTTTGGAGGCCTGTGTGTAGTTAGTGAGGAATGCCCCAGGCCCAAAACTGGAATAAATCACAATCTCTGCAATCCACACTTTTTTTTCCTCCCCTCCTTCTCCCCCTCTGCATGCCTTTCTTTGTCCTCCTCTCACTGACCTTATCTTGTTTACCTCCCCCCTACTCAACGACAGCCATCTTCCTTTTTGCTTCTCCTCTGTATCTCATGCCTATCTGCACACGTCTGCCTTTTTTTTTCTCTCCACACTTCGGTCTTCTTCTTTTTCTTGTGTCTTGCTGTTTTTCTCTGAAATGCCTTGCTGCAGAGATGAGACTTCTGGCTATATTTACAAAAAAGCAAAGCAATCTGATGCCGCTGGAAGCAATAAAAGAGAAAACCTCTTTAGTGCCTGTAATTGAAAACAGCATCACAGTGAGTCACTCTGCTTTCCAATAGCTAAAATAAATTTTGTTTGTCCATGATGCAGGGGAGCAGTAGAGCTAAGGAATGGCATGGCAAATGTGCAAGTCATCCAGGGGTGATTTATTACCACTAAGCAAGCAACAATGGAAACTGACGTTTTTAAATGACTTAATTGTCACTGAAAAACAAATCTGATTCATCCAAACTGTGCTTGTGCTGTTTGATCAGCAACATAAGCAAACATATTCCACAACTGTCATCGCAATTTCTCTCAAATGTAACATTTGCATGCCCATTTCCCATCAGACTTGAAACTAGTGGGGGGGAAACATAAAATGCTGAGTTTAGAAGCAGCCCAATATAATTATTCTTAAAAGGCTGTGGCCAGTTGAAGCCATCTGAGAGGCTCATTTAATCCACCTCCAAAGGATTTACACCATCAGTTTGCATGACAACATATTAAAATACCTGAGGTTCCCACAGTATGTCTTACATCCCTATTTGACTCAACAGTAATTTTTTCAGTCAGCCCATTGTGTTTGATAGGTTTGAGGTAATGTCCAACAGCTGTTAAGCCATCAGAGCCAGACATTTTCCAGGTGGAGGTAAAAAAAATGAAAATGTTAACATTTATAAGGCCATTCTCCAACCACTTCTTGTCTGACAGCTGTGTTACTGGCTAAAAACCATGACAGAGGGTGAATATGTCCATCTGATAAATGGTCAGTGTATCCAGATGCTTTGACACGCTCTCTGCACCACTGATACGATGCTTCACTCACCACATCATAGGGTTTGTAGTTTACCAAAGTTGGCTAAAGGTCTAAAGAAGTGTCCTACCCATGAATGAAGTGATTCATTTTTATTGTAGAGAAGAGTTTGGTTTCCCACGGTAGTGGTTAAAGACTCCTTTTGTGTGGTGTTGTGATGTTTGCCAAGTTGTTTATTGTGTTAAATTCTTCTTTAACTTGAGAAAATCAGTACATTGGTTTCATGAAGGACAGTTAATCTTTTGAAGAGCCTTTGTGCTTCTGGCTGGGAAACCAGTTTGTTACCACCAACAACTCTTTCTGTCCGTCTCTCATTCACTCTGTATCTTAGCTTTTTTAATTCCCATCCACAGTGGAAGATGAGCGAATAGTAACTGAACATTAAACAGAACAGACATGCTGCAGAGGTGCTGAGCATTGTTCTGAAATGAGACTCATTTCAGGAAGTCCTCAGACCAAATACTGTAATTGATTGTTTCCACAAAGCTTACACAGAACCAAAAACCTCCATAAAACCTACTTTTTCTTCCGGTTTTAAACCCACACTGATCACAAAATGAGAAGTGTGCATACCAAACTGGAGAAAAGTGTTTAAGCTCAGAGGCTGGGAATGAGGACTGTGCTGGGACCGCAGAAGTAAGATCTAAAGTTGCAATAAAAAGAACAAATTTCTTTTATCCCGTGTTATGCCCTTTGAAAATGGGTCGATGCTCAGCTCATGGTTGTGCACGAGTCCTGACAGTAAAGCCTTTGGATTAGATTAAACAGGTATCCAAGTAGCTGACAATCCACCATCTATTAAATGTTTCAGCTCGAAAAAAAGATTAAGCTTGTACAGATGATCTTCTCATCATTATATCTTAGTGCTTTGCAGGTGTAGCTGCTGTTGGATGATATGTTAAGTATTCCATCTTGTTCATTTCATGTCCCTTTCCTTTGATGCTTTCCCTGGTATCATGCCTTTGAAGCTCTGCTGTTGGAGCCCTGGTTGCCACAGTGTCCTAACTCCTGGCAAACATCTCTGTTTACAGCACAAAGCTGTCGCAGGAAAAAATCAGCAAGGGATTTCAGGGGGAAAATACATGGTGTAGAGAAGAAGAGAGGAGGAGAGGATGGAGGTTTTGTATTATCCAGCACATTTAATAACAAAGCTAAAAGCCAAATGAGTAGCAGAAAGGAGGAGGGGCTCAAACAGGAGAGATACAAGAGTTGGTGTGCAATAGGGAACACCGCTGAGAGAGGATCAGTGTGAGCAGGGAGGAAAGGGTGAGGCTGAGGGGAAAAAGACATGAGCGAAACAGAGGTATGGGAACAGGGGAGGTGCAGAGGGGAGGTGGAGGGCAGTGAGTCGCTGTAAGTTGCTGACTGACTTTTGGAACAGGATGAGGAAGTGGTGAAGAGGCCAGGAGAGCTGCTTCCATAGGTGGGTCTCTATGACACATGGATGCACACACAATGGAGCATATTATAAAAGCAAGACTTAATGTGTTAACATGAGCTAGTTTTGAGCTTCTACAGCACTGCCATTCCTCAGATTTTTCTTCTTCTTCTTCCATTAATCAGTGCAGTGCCAGTTTGAAGTGTGTTGACTTTTCTACCAGCCTGTTGATTTATTTCCCAGAGTGATACGGGGGAACTGGCCTGCTGTCTGGACTACTTTCTCCTTGTAACAGGTCGAGTATTCGCTGGAATCCAAAAGCTGTTAAACTCTTGGCAGGCAATCCAGGGGCTGATATTTGCATGTGTACGTACAGATCAGCTGTGCGCTCAAACAGAGGAAAGTCTGAGTGTGTGAAGTCAAGGCAACCAGCATGTTTAAAGGCACAAAGTCAAGCATGTACTCAGGGCTTTTGTGTGTGTTAGCCAGGTTAGCTGTGGGTGGATCAGGTTTCAACCTCACCAGTCTCACTCTTTTCCACTCTCACATTAGCAGGACAGTAACACTGCACTGTAGAGAGCAAGGGAAAGGGAGGCCTTGCGAGGGGTAGCATGGTACATGGACTGTGTATCTAATGACACACGGACATAAACACTGTCGTCATGTAAATTTGTCACATACACAGCTCGAGAGGTACGGTGACTTTGGCATGCGCAGACCTCAGTGAACTTATTAAAAGTTTAATATTTCTCTTGTGATTGGACAAACATCTGCAGGCATTTCACAGAAGGACATGAAGTTAATCATTACAAAAACAAAGTGAAGAGATGTCGTTCTGCCAATTTTAAACTACTCTAATTCCACAGAGCGAATTTTCTGATAGTTTTACTTTTGGGTTGAGAAACTGTTCTGGCATGAGACCAACCAGGACCTTAAAAGTCAGGAGGTGCTTTTAGTTGTTTTTCTGTCTGTCTTCTAGACAGTCCGCCACATTTGTTCCAGACCGAAATAAACAACAACCATTAGATGGATTATCAGAAACTTTTGTGCAGACATTCACTAGAAGATGGATCCCAGAGCTTTCCTTTAGATATAACAATAACTAATAGCACTTTGTAAACAGTAACAAAGTGCATCACAGGTTGAATAAAACCAAACATTAAAGATGCAGTGATGTGCATGGCCACTTGCACCATTAATCAAGTTTCTCCCTATTAGGCAAACACGCAGGCCATTTTAGCTATAACTTGTTTTTTTGTGCCATCAACCATCCAAGCTGTTGTTTAACTGGGTGTTCGCATGAGTTTTCCCAGTCAGGGATGCATTTTTCTTACACTGCAGGAATTCCCTATTATCTTGTTCAAATGTGTATGTGTGTTATTAACATATTTTACTGTAGTTTAATTCTACTGATAGCTTTTCTTCTGAACTGCCAGCACCTGAAGAGCTGCTTAGCTGAACTGGTTTGTTCTATAACAGGAAGTTGTCAATCATTACATATTTCAGCACTATGACAGTTTGGTGCAGTACATTACTTCCTCCTATAGATTTCCAAGGAACCAAGAATCTTGAAATTCTTGTAAAAAGTCTACTCATTTTATTTTGTTTTGTTTTCTTTAAAAAAAAAAAGCTCGCTACCATTTTACTTGCAGTACCTGTTTTCACAGATGAGCTGTTTATCTGTTATTGCTTCTTCCATATTATACTTGTGAGTAACTCAAGCCTTCTCTGTTTCTGTTTGTGTTACATCAGGACCTGAAGTGTTTTCCAGCTACAGCAGCAGTACCATGTCTGAGGCGGTGGTGCCTGATGCTATGGTGTCCCCAGCAGTGGGTGGACTGTATGGGGAGAAGGCTGGCGGCCCCATGTTGGACTTCAGCTATGTGGGTATTGATGCCATTCTGGAGCAGATGAGGAGGAAAGCCATGAAGCAGGGTTTTGAGCTCAACATTATGGTTGTGGGTAAGCAGAGCCTGTTTACACTCACTAAAATACCCAGATTTGGTTCGCACAGTAGTTGTCGGTCACATAGCATTGCAGTGATCAAACCTTTGGCTGCTTACGCACTCACACATTAAAAGAAATGCATGTGAAGCATTAGAAATAATTCCAGGAATTGCCTTTGGGTAAGACTTTTGAGTCAGAGGTGGTGCTTCACCGTGGATAACTACTGTTAGCAAATGTTCAGTTGAAATAATATTTCCCATCTTTACTCAAAAGTGTGGCCTTCTGCAAATAAATGGTTGCATTGATGGTTGTATGCACTTAAATCTCACAATAACCTCAGTTATGTATAACTAGAGCTGAGACTGAGTCATGATGCTTTTCTCTCTAATCAAGTTTAAATAGAAGCCTGAAGCTTTTTTCTTTTCTTTTTCTTTTTTTTTTAAATTGGGCATACTCATCACTGTGATCAGACACCTTTAAAATAGGAGCTAATTACACACCTCAGGATCAAACAGGCCACCATCGAACCCACCCAATCTCACTGCTTTATGTCTCCTGCATGTCGTCTCCACACATGGTCTGTGTCTCATCCTCAAATGAAAAAAATGTGCTTGAAAGCAGCCCCAGGCCTGAGTGGGTAAACACAACTAAACAAAACTGGTTTCCATGGTTTTTTGGGTGTCTGTTGTTTTTTTGTTTTTGTTTTTTAAATATCAAGGTGAAATTATTTAACTGTATCACAATGTAGGAACAATTGATGGTTTTTAAGAACTGGATAATTGGTTTGGCATCTTTATAACTGATGGATTTTTACCTGCATAGAGGACTTTATGTTCCCCTCCAAAAATTGTAGCAAAAGTGAAAGGAAATCAACAAAAAAAAAAACGCATTTTCACTGGATTTTCATTATTTTAATTCTCATTTGTTAAACAAATGGAGTGATAATGGACTGATTATAAAACATAAGACTCAGTCATGCTTAGGCCCAGGTGCAGTAGCTACAATATAACAGTTTAAAACTAACAGAGCAGGTGGATTTACTTCCTTGTCTATAAAGAAAGAGGACACCCAGGGGGAAACCCCTACATCTAAACAGGATAACGAGAAGAACAATTTTTTTTGGTAAGATAATGAATTGTGAGTGTTATTTTTAAATTTTCCTTCCAGCTTGTTTGCTTTTTCTTGTGAAAATGTTTGCTGCCAGACACAATTTAACAGTTTAAAAAGCATCTGTACGACTTTGACCTCATACAGAAAGCACTTGTGGGATTTTGGCACCACCTCACTGTTTTGTGATGGTAGGATGATGGATGCAGACACTTTGGAGAAAGCAGCTGTTGGAGCGAGTTTGGACACGGCTCAGAGTGGCATCAGTACTGCCAAAGCACTGTAGCAGATAAAATGCTAATTTGCCACGTGGACTTTTGAGTCCTTTAACTTCCAGCTGTTGAGCTTCATATTTGTTCTGTGAATCCGTGTTTGCGTGGAGTGTGTGCTGCTGTGCATGCGAGTGCATATCCATAAATCAAAGTTCTGAATGTTGACTTAACCTGAGGTTGAACTTTGAGTGGTCATTTCCCTGTGGGCCCCTCCAAACAGCTCTTCATTAACCCGTTGTGATGTTAGCATGAGGTCCAAGGGTCACAGGAGGTCTCATCCATATAGACAGACAGCTGATAAATAAAGTCTGTTTCGTTTTGCCCGAATGGGGAAGCATTTTATCCTCTTACTGTAGCAAAACAAGAGCATCTGTGTTGTTATATGCTCAGAAAGTGTCTTGAAATGGTAGTTATAAGATTAAAGCAGGAGTTACATTTGTGTATTTCTGGGTGTGGCTGTTGCAGTCATGCTATTTCCCCTGCTGTTATTTTGAGTGGCTCATAAGTGCCATATGTCATATTAGCATTTTAGGGCTATTAAAAAAAAGCTTTAGTGATTCATATGCTGCTGCCTCCACAGGATACCAAAGTAAAACTAACCTCCATCCAAAACAGCATCACCATTCACAATTAATTTACTAGTGAACACTCTCTTTGCTCATTTTATTTTTCAGTTCAGTCACTGCTTGTCATCTAGCCCCAGCCTTTCCTGTCCCATTTTTCCCAGAGGTTGATGTTGCGGTTGTGGTCGCCCACAATGTCATTAAGCTGCTTCCCCAAGAAGAATTCCCGCAGTCAAACATACTCCAAATAAACAGTCATGGATTTCAGCTTTAGACGCTAGATCTCGTTCTGCTAGGAAACTCTAACCAGAACCTGCAGCAGGTGGACAACTCAGCCAAACTCATCGAGGCTGCAGAGCAAAACGGGGACTACTATCACAAGCTGCAATTACAACGGAGGGGCTGGATCTCATCCCACATCCACGGGATGAGACTTGTTGAGAGAGGCAGCTGAGAGAAAGGAGCTGGAGAAATTAGACAGGGGAAACGCCCAAACTCTTGTGCACGTGCACTCGTTGGAGACTTATATAGTGGATGACAAAAGACAACCATAGGCATAGCAGTTGTGGCTGTTGCTTGTCCTGTCCTGCTGTTGGCTCATTGCAGCTGCCCCTTTTTCTCATCACTTACTGCATATGAAGTAAACTGGTGTGCTTTGACGTTTTGTTGGCAGTGTTTGAGCAGACACATGTCACAGCTTCTGAAATTGTTGGAGTGAAGCAGGGTCATTTTATAGAATCTTGTTTGGGTTTATTATGGCACCATTGTGTAAACCGTTGGCTTCCCACTGTGTAAGCAGTCACTGTCAAAGTGTTTTTTTTTTTCTCATTGCCTGTCATTTTTTTTGCTTGTTTTTTGCTTACAGGACAAAGTGGCCTGGGAAAGTCTACTCTGATGAACACGCTGTTCAAGTCTAAAGTCAGCCGTAAGTCTGTGCTGGCTACAGCCCAGGAGAAGATTCCCAAAACAGTGGAAATCAAGTCCATCAGTCACGGTACAACTCACGACAACTGGCTTATGCCCATCTGCATTCTCACTGCCTGTCTGTGTTACAGCAGTTTGCTGCTGTGCTGGCTCTCAGTGTTTTTATGTGCTTTTGTTTGTAGACATCGAGGAGAAGGGCGTAAGAATGAAACTGACAGTCATTGACACACCAGGCTTTGGAGACCAGATCAACAATGAGAACTGGTAGGCTACAACTTAACGTTGCTGCAACAACCATATAAGCAGTGAGTTCATCTAACCAGATGTCCTCCCCTTTATTCTTGCTTTTCCTGCTTTCTTACTTTTCCTGATCTCTATCATTGTCCCTCCTCCTCTTCTTTGTCTCCCTGAGCCCCTCCTCTTCCTCCTTTTTACTGATCTGTCCCTTCTCTTCCTTTTCCACCCCCTTACCCTTCTTCCCCCCTCCCTCTTCTGTCCTTCTCCCTCTTCAATTATCTTTCTCCACCATGGCATAGCTGGCAGCCCATCATGAAGTTCATTAATGATCAGTACGAGGCGTACCTGCAGGAGGAAATCAATATCAACAGGAAGAAAAGGATCCCAGACTCCAGAGTCCACTGCTGCATATACTTCATCCCCCCAACTGGACATTGGTAATGACACACCACAGTCGTAGTTTTAAATCTCAAAAAGACACATCTAAAAAAACATCAGTGCTGATTCCTGTCACACAAGCTGTTCTTTATGCTCTGTAGTTTTCTTGTAAACAAACATCGTGTTTTCTAAAAGTCTGACTTGGTGACAATACGAAACAATTACATCAACTGGAATTTAAATAACTGCTGTTGTTACAGACAGCAACACTGTGCTTTGCCTGTGCATGTCAGCATATATTGGTATAGACTGTCTTTGTTTGTTCTTAACTTTTTAAATGTGAAGCAGATCTCTGCCTTGTTACCCCCTCGTATTGAACACACACAAGGACTCTCTATCCGGCCCACACACTCTGGAGACATGGGCTGCTCTCGCCAGGCCCCGAAGCAGCTCAGTATCCTAAGTTTTTCCCTGGACCTCTCACAGGCCCACACATCTGGCTCTCATCGAACCGTCCGGTTTACTCTCCCTCTCAGCGCTCTCTTGGTTCAAACCTGCACCGATCGGCGCTCAGGGGGTCTGGGTATACTAGCAGAAGGAATTAGGGGTTCGGTGAACACAGTCTCACGTGATAATTCACCATGCAGCTCATAGGTTTTTTTTGTATTCCTTTTTTTTCCATTGGTGTAACTCGAGTCGAGTGCAGCGACTGGTCTTGGGAAAATGTTGAAGCAGCTGTGGACTGTCATCCCCTTTGGAACACGCACACAAAGACACAACTGATAACAGAGCAAATGCTGCACCTCTATTAATTTTTGTCTCATGGCATGTCTTTACTCAGGCAGGGGCCTGGTGTGAATGCCCCCCCCCTCCCCCCCCTCCTCCAGCAAGCAGTGTTTCATGTTGATCCAACACTGCAGATGTCACACGGCCCGGCCAGCAGCTGCTCCAGGCTTGCCTTAAAAAGCCTAATGGGGGGAGAGGCAGGAAGGACGCAAGAGACAGAGACTCTGTGTGTGTCTGGGTGCATGCAATCAATTCTGCACTTTTGTCTTTCTCAGCGTGCTCTTTCTCGAGTGCACAAGCCTTGTTGTTGACAACGAGCAGCCTGTGTGAAAGAGTCGTTAGCCAGGCCAGAATCCGCTGCTCTAACCACATGCAGATGCTTTCTCAAACTGGGAAAGGCCTTAGCTGCTTCCCCTAACTGTATCAAGCAGCTGTTCACACACTCTGTGTAATGATGGGTGCATGATAAGAAGATGGAACTGTAAATGTTCCTCCATCTGGGACGTTTCTTAGGAACATCTGCCCTCTGGTGCGAGAACTTTGCGTTACAATTTCCTGTGCTTTTGTTCTTAAATCTAATGTCTTCCCCCCGATTCTCTCATGTTGTGTCTCCTCAGTCTTCGGCCTCTTGATGTCGAATTCATGAGACGTCTGAGTAAAGTGGTCAACATCGTCCCAGTCATCGCCAAGGCAGATACACTCACGCTGGAGGAGAGAGACTTCTTCAAAAAGAAGGTAACATCTATTAGAGTTTAGTGGCATTGCAACTTCTCTGAAGAAGTATCCCTATATTCTTTTACCCTTTTGCTCTCTGCTTGCCTTTACTTTTTTTAAACAGCTGACCCCTTTATGAGGTTTTTATTGGCTTTGTTTTCAAGGATCTCAGGATATCCCTTTCCCTCATTAACACACTCTGTGTGCGCACAGGTTTAGGCGTACATCCTGTGAGGGTTTTGCGTTTTGTTTGTTGCGGTTAGCGACTAATCCCAAACTTTTGGCATAGATTAGCGTTAATGCAACCTTAATCTGCATCCTGTGCATATTTAGGTACAATTGTTTGATCTCTCAGAAGGATACATCAAGAACAGCCGCCTAATTAGTCCAGAGATTAAGAGACTTGTGGTGGGTTAAAGATTTGTTGTGTGTGTGTGTGTGTGTGTGTGTGTGTGTGTGTGTGTGTGTGTGTGTGTGTGTGTGTATTTGAACATGCTCTAACCAGATCAGGGAAGAGCTGCGAGCCAATGGGATTGACGTATACCCACAGAAGGAATTTGATGAGGACGCAGAGGACCGAATGATCAATGAAAAGATCAGGGTAAGGGCAGCAGCATCACCAAGCAGGACTTTGGGCGCTTTCTGAAATCCATTCTGTAAGGATTTCTAACTCTAATAGCCGTTTACTTTTAACCTTTTGAACAGGAGATGATCCCATTTGCTGTGGTGGGAAGTGATCAGGAGTACCAGGTCAATGGCAGGAGGTTGCTGGGGAGGAAGACCAAGTGGGGAACCATTGAAGGTACAACTCTCATTTGTATTTATATTACTGATGCACTTTTAGCAAAAAAGAAAAGGGAAAAAAAAGAAGGGAGGGTTTCTGGGAGTCAGCTGGTCACAGAGTGTCAACAATGCTCCATTCAGCTCTCCAGACAGCAGTCGTGTGCCATGTAGCTGACTCAGGCCTCCACCAGACAGTCGCTATGAAGAGGCCTGATTGTTTACTTGGTGTCCCAACCTCTCTCATTCCCATACAAAGAGTATGTCTGCTGAATCCTCACATTGGATATGCACTGAGCAGAGAAAATGTGTAAGTTTAGTCATTTTTAATTCCAGTTTCCTCCAGCAGCTGAAGGAAACTGGTCATCATTAGTGTCATACGACTTTATGGTCACATTCATTTTGACTGCAGGATCGGACTTTCAATATTTAATAATGTTAGCCACTCCAGACAGGAGGCCCCACCCCTTTATCAAGTGTCTCATAAAGGAAGTTTAATTTCCTGCAGTGTGTGCCTGTGCTGACACACACAGGCACACATCACTGGGAAATTCTGATGCAGTTAATCTCCTCGGAAAATACTCAAAGTGGATGAAAGCTGCAGCAGGTGAGGGCAAGAGGGCCTGCTGCATGGAGCCATCACACTAGGATCACTGACTCCACCTGCTGGACTCTTAAAGAATCTCAGCACCAGCCATTCATGAAGCTTCTGCAGCCTGTTAGCACCTGTTTTAACTCCCCTTTGATTATTTCTAACTCAAAGCTTCTCTCTCTGCAGTTGAGAACATAGCCCACTGTGAGTTTGCCTATTTACGGGATCTCCTCATCAGGTGAGTGCATGTTGTCTACTAGTCTGCAAGTCCACAAGTTTATGCCAGATGAGGATCTGGCACAGATTCATCATAAATAAAGGGATTTTTGTAATTTTAGACACAGAGAGGGAGACTCAATCATTGCATGTGGTTGATCAGTCTCATGAATCACATGTGCCACATGTATGTAGTAGCAATGGAAATGAATATGTAAATGTTTTTAATAGAGCTGCCAATGTTAATGTGTTAACACGGATTTATCCATCATCACGCAATTAACTCATCTGGAGCGCAGAATGACGCAAAATCCCTGAAATGTCTCTGTCAATGCAATTCGGGCAGTTTGTCCAAGGTTTGTCCATTCTGCGCTCCTGATTGGTTAATTGCATTAAAAAATTTTAATCGCAGTGATCGTGATGATGCGTTAACATTGACAGCCCTAGTTTTTCATTTACAAGAGGCGTCCTGCTTCAGTGAATCCACCTATGTTTTTATAGTAATCACAGTCCCAGTGCAGTAAAAGCAGAAACGCAAATTTGCAGAGGGAAAAACTGATATGAGACATGTTTACAGGCACAAAGTGCAAATAAAACAAGCTATGAGCTGTTGTCTGTAAAGACAGCTGGAGTGAATCAAGTCTGCGTGTTTCCCTTCTGTCAGACACACACAACAGTTAAAGACACGGTTTGAGCGGTTTCTGTCTGACACTGCAAGTGTGCTGGTAGTTTACAGGTACATGCTGGATCAAGGTGGATTCAAAACCGTTTGAGGTTATTGTACAGCAAAATAAAGGACACAAAGGAGCAGGAGAATGTTTCCAGTCAGCATGTTAAAATAAAAGTAGTTTTTATTTTCAAACTCGAGATAAAGTGACCATAGTTTCCTGTCGTGTGCTCGAACATTGCAGTTCTTAGGATGAGTGAAACGTAGAGAATTGGTTTCACTGTAGGGGGTCAGCAAAGGAAATCTTAAAAACAACATGTTTTATTGAGTGACGACTAGACTAGTCGATTACTCTGGCCGATAAGAGGACTTGATGTTCTTTTCAGTGGTGGATTGTGTTTCGTTTGAAGTTTTTAGAAATTAAAGGATATGAATATGCAAGCTCATCAACTGATTTGGACCCGAAAAAACAAACTATAGGTGTGAAAACGCCCTAAAAGTCAGAAAATACTGAGTAAACTATCAAAGTTGCACACAGTGTAATGGATCCAGTAAGATATCTTCTGTGCAAATACAGAGTCTGTATTTTGCTCCGGCTATATTATATAATATATAATGATTCTTGTGAAATTTTAGTACTTTTCATGAGTCATCGTTCATTCATTTCATTCATCTCAGACCATCTACAGATATTTTGTTTTTGTAACACAACTTGTCATATTTGTTCAATCCAGCATGAAAATGTTATTAAAATAGCATTTTCTTCATTTTTGTGACTAAATGTTTTAGTTAAAAATATTTTTTTTATTGTTTTGAGTTCTCTATATCCCATGTAGAAATGGTCTGTAGTTGTATTTTTCAGTGTGAAATGTTTTAGGTAGTGTGTTTGTGTTCAAGAATGAGACTGCTTCAGTTTGTTAATATAAATTTTGACCAGCTCATCATCTGAAACGGCAAATCCAGATTCAATTTATATAGAACAGAATAAAATCGCCCTTTAATACATCGAGAAAGACCATTGGAAACTTCAGTTTTTCAAGTTTTTGAGATCCTCGTTCATTTAAACACAACTTCTCAGTGTGTGGACGAGCCTCTTTAAAAATCCATATATACAAAGGTGTGTGATTTTTACAGCAGTAATTATATCCGTCCACACTTTATACCCTAAATTTTAAGGTGGTTGAGTAGAAAATGTAAAAACTGTGATGGTTTGAGATGGACGGACACTTCTGTGATGCCACCGTGTGTGTTTTTGTTTGTAGGACCCACATGCAGAACATTAAGGACATCACCAGCAGCATCCACTATGAAATGTATCGCGTGAGGCGCCTCAATGAGAATAACACGATGGTGGCTCATGCCAACGGTATCCCAGAACATCATCTCACCGCCCACGAGATGTAGACGCCGCCTGCCGCCATCACAGCGTAACTCGTTTGTTCTGAGACTCTGATGTTCAGCAACAGTCCTTCAACTTCACTCCAACCCACTCCACTCCAAACCTCCCACCTCCCACCTCACAGGGTGCGAAAAACCCAAACGCCTGCCAGAGGGACTTCATTATCGGTGACTTTTGGTGGCTGAATGGACGGTTTATGTCAGTTTATTGCTTCATGAATGAATCCCCTCAGTATCGCCGACCGAGAGAGGGATTTTTACCTGCTTACAGTTAATATTTGTGGTGCCAAACTTTCAGCTTCCACCAAACCGAACGAACTGACACTGAAGTGCCTTAAAACGTAACATATTAAACTCGTCCACTTTTCTTTTTGCAGATTTTGGTGTTTTGTTTTTAGCAGCGCCTGTAGGAATGTGGGCCACAGTTTTGTTTTTTCCTCTAAGCACACACTTATAGCGACGTGTGAAAAGTGATGATACTTGCACTTGATCACTGCATAAAGCATGTTGGAGAAGGGCCAGGCAGCGCTTCGCCAACATGTAACACACAGTAATGTAAAGTGTGAGCAGTGCAGCTTCACTCAGCTCTCTCCCCCTTAGTTAACCCCCCCCCACTCCCAAAAAAGGGCTATCAGAGAGCACCTCATACGCTTGACTTAACTTTTCTGTCGCAGCTCGTGTTTCTCTTTAAAAGTTGTTTTTAATTCCCACTTATAAATGTCATTGTTTATGAATAGAAATATCTTAAGAGTGATTCAAGATGATAAAGTATTTATGCACGATATAAAATGTGAACGCCGTCAGTTGTAGTCCATATATTCAGATTAGTAACACACACACTTCCCCTGCTTTGGGCCCGTCATGGCGCCTTATTTATTGGAGGGTTTTTGTTCTTTTTCATAGCATGTTGGCCAAAACTGGAAAGAGAGCAAGGTTGTTGGTGCCAGGCTGACTACATTTAGACGTTTTCCAGTCCCCTTAAATTCTTTTTTCTTTTTTTTAATCTAGTCTTCCACTGACCAGCCCACTTTGTTTTTCCTCCCATCATGTACTGAGGATCTTTCTTTCATCCACATATTACTTCCTAAGCTCTCACTGTCATGCTCTGTCCTGTATATTCGTCTGTGTTCTGATACATTTTTGTACTTGTATTATTGATAACAAATTTTCTTTTATCTTATTTGAAAGAAATAAAGATTGAAGTTGTAAATATTCTTGTTTTTTTTTTCTTATATTTTTACAATGCCTAGAAGAGGAAGTCCAGTCAGCGAAAGAACTCACTCCTTAAAGTTTAAATGTATACACTGATGACATTTTAGATAATTTTCTCCCACAATGGCTTTTCCATAGCATTTAATTGCAGGTGTAATTCACTTACTGGAGCACTTTAATTGCCGTGTCATTAAACTTCTTCTTGATTAGCCCCTGAAATCAATATGGCTGCCTACTAGGTCAGTGCAAAGCTGATTAGTGCTAATTACTTGAACGCATGAGTGCATCTTTTCTTCCTCGGCATGACACTGGAGAAGGCGAGACCTTCGGGATCAGTGAGGGTATGTGCAGACGTCAGCATCCTGAGGTATTGAAGCAGGAAGAGAATGTAAATGCGGCAAACAGACTCGTGTCAAGTAAAATATTTACTTTGATTCCTTTTGAAGGACTTGACGCCAGTGGAATCAGCCCAGAGGGAACTTCAGTGACTCTCAGGTCTAAACTGAAGCTTCATTTGCAGCTCATCAGCTGTGACAGCTTGGAATATGCCTGTGTCATCAGTTGTTGAACCTAGACCTTCGGCCCCATGGAAGACACTATTTCCTTAGTTAAAGCCAAGAGGTGACTGTTTTTTTGGCCAGCCACTGTGGTTCAAAGACAGATGGGTGCCGATCTAAGAGTGCTGGGTGAAGGCTCCAGGAAGAAGTAGTGCAGTGGCCACAGAGAGGCTATAAGAGAATGTGAAGAGTTCAAGCAAAATACAGACAATCTGTTTAAGTTATTGTATCAGATCCTCAGCCATCAGATGTGGCTGGGGATCTGATGGATTTTAATTCAGTATTTGATTGAACAACAGGTCTTTGGTGGTCTTCAGTATGCTGAGAGCAAGTAGAGAATAAATGTAATAACAGATTTAACACTTTTTGTTTAGTTTTTTTTTTTTTTTGGTGTAAATGTCCAGTTTTAGGATCACATATTGATGCTTATAGAACAATGAAAAAGTTTGCAGCCAACAGGGGGGAAAAATCAAGGAATAAAGTCTAAGAATCTAAACACAGCACAAAAAATAAGGGAATTTGTGTTTGTGTCTTTGTTCTAACAATGCTTCCTGGCAATAAATCTTATACTCTGGGAAAGCCTGTTTATTTCCCTGTAAGTGTTGCCACATTAATAAGGAAAAAGCATTTGTGGGTTACACCCATGGAAAAACTTGCCAAATCTTCTCTTGCCAAACAGCTTATTCTGCTACTAACTCTTGTTTGGTGTAGTTTATTGGATGTGAGGATCGAAGTCTGACAAAACAAGACATCTTGGAAATTTAACAAGTTATTCAGTTAACAAAGAGATGCCTCAGTAACATGTGGAAGAACCATACACGCCCACAGCAGCCTCGCACCTCTGCCTCATGCTGGTCAGCAGCTGGGTCATACACTGCTGTGGGATGGCTTCTTCAACCAGGATGGCATGAACGGTACAGTACCAGACTGGAGATTTGAAGCCTTTAATGATAACTTGTTCTTCCAGTAAGGAAGTTGCAGCATCTCTCCATCACACTGCCTACACCAAAAACTGTTACCTATTTGTGCACAATCGGCAATCTTCACACTTAAACTCCATGATCCAACTGCAGCAGAATCTGGACTTACTCCACATGTTCACGTCCCAGTGTACATGTTGCCGACACCAGTGCAAACGGGCCTGACGGTGAAGAGCAGTCGTGGCAGAGATTGTCCAGACTAGATGATTGTCGGCACCTGAAGCTCAGAACAACACTCAGTTGCAGAAGCTGTTTTCCACCACAAATGCATTTTCATTGCAAATGAGGCACCATTCAAGAGGAAATAAAGAGGCTTTCCAGTGGTATAAGATTTATTGCCAAGAAGCATTTCTTACTCATCCTCAGCAGGGAATCAAAGACTTTAGATTGTAGTAAAAAGCTTTAGACCCTCCTTGCACCCACAGAGGTCTGAGAGGTCTTCCAGGAATGGTGAAATGATTGGTGAGTATGTGGTGATTTCATACCTGCTGATCTCTAATCTGGAAGCTAACCAGACCAGGTTAGTTTCACAGCATCGGGGTAATTGACCCGGGTTGGAAGTGCGCCACCTTCATAGCAGAGAAAACCCAGGCTTAACCCTGAAGTTACCTGGATAAGCTAAAATCTGTTTTGTGGTGCAGGCATCAGGTTGTGTTTTCCTTTAGTGAGTAGTTTGTGTTCCGGAAGAAACTCACTGCATCAGGAAAAACGCCAAAGGTGGCTTTGAGTGCTCTATCAAGCATTACACCGTATACGTGACTTGTCAACATGATGACATCTGAAGATTTCAGGTAAATGTAACAAAATGAAGGCTGAAGTTTCAAAAGGTTGTTTTCTGGGAACTCATTGGCCTTTAATCCCATTCAGAGGCATAATAACTCTGTGATAGGCTTCTACATGTATCATAAACACATATTGTGAGTGCACATTTTCAACATATAAGTGGCAACAATGTTTCAATCCTCCACAAAAACAGTCAAAATACTCACCCATCAGACCCACATCATAATCTGGAGATCGGTGTGCTTGGCAAAGTCATTTAAGTCATTCTTCCTTGTGAGCAATGCGTTTCTTGCAAAACATCATTTGAAAATTGCCGCCGCGCCAGCTAACTGCTTTAAAAGACGCTCACTGAACAACAAATTGTTGCATAGGAGACTTTTTTGTACAAATGGCAGGGAACAAGGCCGGGAAACGCAAATCAGGAAATTCAGGAAAGATGCCTGTTTTAATCAAATGTTTAATACAATCAGAATCAAAATGACTGAGCAAATAATTGCACGCCTAAAACTGAATTAATAAGGAAAGTGTATATTATATAAATAAAGTCAGGCTTTGGTTCTGGGCGCCTTAGCATGATACCGTGGATAGCAGCATTCTCTGTGATGTGCAGGGCCCTCCTACGTGGGTTCCTCCTACCTTCTTGGTCCAGGCTCGTTGCCCCAACTACCCCATTGGATGTTACGCTTTCATCCCATTCCCAGCCTTCAGTCACATGAAAATCTGCGAAGCTCCTAAAATGTGATCTCGCTAATGCTAAGATTTACTAGGTAGCTGAATAACCGGGAAGGATAAACACGACCGTGCTCTCTGTGCATGTGAGAAAAGACAAAGCCAACCAGAGGAGACGTCTGAGATGTCTCTGTCATGCCTTAAAGTCCAATTCTCCCCCGATGCTGAGCGC